TGTACGTAGACAACAAGGCCATGCTGGCCTTGTGTCGAGAGCAGCGCTTGGAGCACAGAACGAAGCACATTGCTCTCCGCTACTTCCTTGCTCGTGAGCTGCAGCAGCGTGGTCAGTTGCGACTTGCGTACGTGGCCTCTGAGGCCAACACTGCTGATGTGTTCACCAAGGCACTCGCGCCTTGTGACCATCAGCGCTTTTGCACCCAGCTGGGTCTTGTGCCTGTCTTGCCTCACTTGCTCTCCTCTTGACTTCACTTGTACTGTGACATATATATATACCTGCTCTTGCTTGTCTAGTTTTATATATATGTCTGTACTCCTGCATGTGAACTGGCCTCTGGCCCTGCTCTTGTGCTCGGACTGTGTGGTGACGTTGTGATCCACCCTGAGCTTGCTTTACTTTGCTTTGCTTGACTGGTCTTGTGACCCCTTGTTCTCCCCCACTTTGCCTATGGGGGTGTGTCGGATTATCATAACTGATGCATGTTTGTAGGCTATAGTGGGGTAGCACATATAGGGTACAGCTTTCTAGGGTTGTATTTGTACCCAACTCTGACTTAGTCATTTCATTCCTGTTTTCCTTGCTTCACATGCTGCTCCCTGTATTTTCCCGTAGATTAGTACCGGGCAATCCGTCGCTGTACCCTCCTTATTCATCCGAGCCCGATCGATGGCATGAATCGGTACTGTGACTCGGTGAGGGTCGGTGTGGTTGGGCGAGCAGGCAGTCTCGTCAGTAGTTGGCCCAACTTCTACTGACTGCTGGCGTTTCCCTGCCTCTGAGACTCCCTCCCCTGCTCTGCTCCTCGGCGCCTCAGCTCCTCTGGGCATTCGCTCTTGCGATGGCCCAGCCTGTTGCAAGCAAAGCAGCGCCCCTTAAACGGTGCGGCAGCTGCATTCGTTGCGACGGCGTGTACAGTGGCGTGCTCGGTCGGTCCCCGAGGACGATGTCCGTAATAGGACCCCGGTCTTGGTCGACGTGGAATTTCGATCTTCTCGGCGAGCGCGAGAATCTCGTTGAAGTTAGAGAGTCCGCGCAGCATTATCTCGTGCGAGATGTCCGGCTTCAGCCCTCCGACGTAACGGTCCACCCGCTCCGCTTCGTGCATGTAGCCGACCTGCTCGCAAAGTGCGAGAAAACCGCTGGTATAGTCTTGAACTGACCCGAGCTGGCGCCAAGTGCGCAGTTTCTGACGCGCCGAAATTGAAGCCGCGATTGGCTCAAAACGCGCCCGAAGTCCTGCGCACCACGCATCCCACGTGCTGTATTGGGCGGTCTCGCAGAACGAACTCCAGGTGACAGCTGGACCCGAGGGCCCTTCCTCGTGCGACGGTGGCTTGTAGGCGCGTGGCGACGTCACGATGACTCGCCACCAGTCCATGGCGGGGCCCCTTAGCAGTGAAACCGCATACCGGATCTTTGCGGCGTCCGACTCGACGTAATTGGCGTCGAAGAAAACGTTCATCGTGAAGACCCACGATTGAACTGTCCGACCGCCGCGTTGACTTGGGTCGAAGCAGGGCGGGCGTTGCGGCTTGAGCGGCATTGGTGCCATGTTGGGTTGTTCGCCACTTGTCGCCGCAAATTCCACGTGCCGACGGACTTCTCGAGGCTCCCGTGGGTTTGGTGCGATCCTGTTTCCTCCCATGCCAGGCATCGGCTGGGCGGCGCCCTCACTGGCTGCGCCTGAGCGTTGTCCCGTGCTGTCGTGTTGTGTTGGTGTGCCGGACGAGATGATGATCGGCTCATCCGAACGTGCAGATGCGTTTGTTGGTGCGTGGGATGTCGTCGGTATGTTCATCGTGGATTGTTGACGGGCGGAGTCACGTTCCGCCGTGAGGGTCGCGATTTCAAGCGCCGAATCCTCCAGTTGACGCACGAGACGATCAAGTTGCTCCTGCGTCAATGTGGCGAGCGTGAAGTCGGCCATGGCGGGGGTGTCGGGCAAGCTCAGCGAGAGCCTCGGTCGTGGCCGTGCGTGCTTGCGAGAGAGCACTACGAGCGGCGGTGCTGTATCGCTGAGAGACGTCTACCCCCCCCAAAAATTGAGATAGTGGGGAAGCGAAGGTGTGGATGCGGTTCGAGATGGGATCGTAGGCTCTGAATACCAAGTGTTACGAGTGCAATTGAGTGAACGAACGAGAATTGCACTATCGAAGCAAGAGTACAATGAGCGAAGGCATGAGCGAAGAATATATAGCGAAACTACAGTGGTAACGGTAATGGTCGCGCGACGAGCCTGGGACTGAGGTTGGGAACGTGTCGAAGCGTAGGCCCGGAGCGCGGGTTACCAGCCGAGCCGTGAGGTCGAGATGCGATGTGCGAAAATGGCGGGATGATGAATGATGCGATGGTCGCGAGTGGTAACGGTGCTGACTGAGGTGCTACAGTGATGTACGCGTTGAGCAGAGATGCGAAGTAAGGAAAAGGGAATTTCCTTACAACACAGAATAACCAGCCTATTGAGTATTTGCATTGAGATCCATAGAGGCAGAAATCAATGCAGGAATGGATAAATGCGTCATTAAACACTTTCAAGACAAGACCCTCGGCTAACCCTGTAGCAATACGTATAAAACACACTCTTGAGTTGAGAGTAGGCACAAGTGACATTTGCAGCACATTTTTTTATAAAAATCCATCCACATTGTACTGCTGACCATAAAGCAGCACCCTCATTCTAACAAGTGTCCTCTGTTTCCTTCCCCTTCCCCTGTCCCTTTTCTCAAATCTCCTTTCCCCTCCCCCCTCCCCCTTCCTTATCCATTGGCCTTTTGGCAGTCCCTGTCGCAGTAAGCAGCTTGACCCCTCACGATTTCGACGTGCCACACTTATCCCCAACCCTTCCTCGTCCTCTTCCCCTCTGCTATTTCTTAGGCTGGCACTTCGACTTATGCACCTTCCAGTGGGCCGTCTGGCAGTCCCTGTCACAGTAAGTAGCCTGGCCACACCGCGAGCATGCCTGCAACAGTTCAGGATGCTTCCTCAGCATTCCGGTAGTCTGGCAATCACTTTGGCTGGCACTGCAGCTTGTGCACCTTCCAGTGGGCCACCTGGCAGTCCCTGTCGCAGTAAGCAGCCTGGCTGCACCGCGCGCAAGCCTTCAACGGCGGCCACCCCGGCCCCTCTGCCCTGCCACACTCGGGGAAGGCACAGCAACGCACCCCCCCTGCTGCCACTGCTCCGTCTTTTGCTCCTCCTGCCACAGCTGCTGCTGCTGCTGCTGCAGGTGCTCTTGTGTCTGACATAGCAGGGGCAGCAGCAGAAGAGCCTGCACCAGGTGTCACCCCGACCCGCCACCCGTTTGAGAGCTCCCAATGGCACGTCTCCCCCAGCAGCATCTCCCGCAGGCATGCAAACGGGTTCACTCCCCCCACCCACCCCAGTGGGTTCACCCACTGTAGCAGCGGCAGCCATTCTATCCACCAAAGCCCACTCCTTCCTCCGACTAATCTCCTCACACTCCCTCTCCCTCCGTCTCATCCCCGCACAACACTTCCTCACTCTCTCCTCCTCCCCCGTCGCCGCCCAGCTATGCGGCGCCTCATACATCTCAGTAACAGGCCATGCTCTAAGCAATGCGTTTCTCCAGCTATCCACCTCCTCCCACATCAGCCACTCCTCCCCCCCCTCCCACCCGTTCCACTCCACCTCTCTCAACTCCTCCTCACTCCTCACCACTCCATCTGCTCTGTGCAACTCCATGATGTCCTGTACGACGCCTTCCCGAGACAGCAGGATGGCTGCGGTGTAGAGGAAGTGCAGTCGCTTGTGCTCCAGCACGCCTTCAAGAAGAGGAGCCATGAGGCGGTTCGGGATCAGGTCCGGCAGCGGGGGGATCCCGAGCGTGTCTAGCAGCTCTTTCATCTGAATGGGGTGTGGGTGGTAGAGGGAGACAGAGGAGAAGAGAGCAGGGTAAAGGAGACGGATGGGGGGGGGCATTATATCGTTGAAGCTGATTCCAAGAGACAGCAACACATGTCGCTGTGTAGAGGAAGTGCAGTCGCTTGTGCTCCACCACGCCTTTGAGAAGAGCAGCCACCAGCCGAGCCGGGACCAGGTCCGGCACGGGGGGAATCCGAGCGTGTTTCTAGAAACTCCTTCAACTGAAGGGGGTGCGAGCACAGAGGGCAAAAAAAAGACAGAGGAGAAGGGCAGAGGGGAATTGCAAGTAGATGAACAGTAGATTCCGGGCGTGTCGAGGAGCTCTTTCATCTGAGAGGGGTGTGGGTGGTAGAGGGGGAGAGAAAGAAGCAAATTGAAAGACTCTAACTCTACCTCCCGTTCAGCAATGACTTGTCGTGATAATAACTACAGGGACTTGAAGGCATCTCTGTCTGCATAGAGAAACCCATGTTCCCCTCTCACGTGATGGGAACATGGGCGGTAGAGTGAGAGGATGTAGCGAAGGAGCACCAACCAAGCGCATTCTATCAAACGGGATGAGTTTTAAGTTGCTTTCAAAACATCGAAGGGTCTAGGCGAACTCTAACCTGAGGGGGAAACGGGAGGTAGAGTGATAGGATGCAGCGCAGAAGAAGCACCAGCGAGGGGCATTCTATCTAACGTGGTGACGAATTCATCGCCGTGAAACCCACCCATTTCGACTAGCAGGCACCTATATCTCGCAGGCACCTATAGGGAGGTGTTTTTGAGACGTCTCAAACAATCACTTTTATAGGGAGGACTCTTATCTGAGGTGAGAGCAGGCGGTGGAGCAAGAGGATGCATCCGAGGAGCACCAACGAGGGGGCATTTAATCGAACGTAATGGCCCATCCATTGCCTCTTAAAACAACCACCTGAGGAGTTTAGGGTTTAAGCGGCGTCTCTACATGTCAAGGAGAACTTTTACCTGAGTGAAGCGCAGGGTATAAGGCAAGAGGATGCAGCGGAGGAGCACCAACAGAGCGGCATTTAATCTAACATAACGGCTTTTCAACAAACTCTAAAAACTCCCAACTGAAGAGTTGGGGGTTTCGGGTTTGAATGCGGTCTCTATTTGTCTAGGAGAACTCTCACCGGAGTGAAGCGCTGGGGATAGAGCGAGAGGATGCAGCGGAGGAGCACCGAGGAGGGGCGGAAAGCAAACGAGGCAACAACAGCGGCGGGAGTAACTGCCCGGTTGAACACGTTGAGACACAAGCTGCAGCCGGTGCAGGCGGGCGTGAGGGTGGTCATGGCCGCCATGAACTCCAGAAACGCATCCACCTCTTGAGGGGATCTCAGCATGGGCTTTAACTTGCCCGGGGAATACGCCCCCAGGGCCAGCGCCGCCCAGCTCATATCAATTTTCTCTCCCTTTGCCCCCTTGTTTGTGCTGCTGCTGCTGCTGCTGCTGCTGCTGCTGACACCGCTGCTGCTAGTCTCTGCAGCTGCCACCAGCTGGAGGCGCAGCACCCAGTCGGTGATTGCTCGTGCCAGCGGCCCGCCCCGCCCCTCCTTCGCCAGCCGCTTCGGCGAGAACCTTTTCAGAAACTCCTCGACGCGGTCCGCAACAGTCGGGAACGTGGGAGTGTGCGTGCTGCTGTCACTCAGAGCCTTGGCAGCTCCATACTCCTGCATGTTCTCTACTGGGCTCATGGCAATCCCCCTCTCCTGCAGACTCTTTGCTGACCCAACGTTGAATTCTTTCAGCATCTCATCTCGGTCGAACACAGAGTCCCGTAAGCTGCCTGTTTGAAAGGTATTCAGCCCCAAAAACTCCCCACTCGCAAGCCCTGCAGTTCCCTCTTCCACCCCTCCTATGCCTTGTACTCGTTCCCTCCCTCCCAGGGCACTGCCACTGCTTTGTGCCTTCAGGGCCTCTCTGTCCCCCACTGGAAACTCCTCCCACCCCGGAACCCCTCCTCCCGCACCAAACTCCTGCACCGCAGAACCTTCCGAACCTGCCGTGCCCACAGGCTTGGGGATGGCGCCGAACCTGAGCAGGAGGCTCGGGAGGTCGTGCACCGGGTGCGGGAGCGCCAGGGCTGGGGCTTCCGGGTTGGTGCGGGTGCAGTAGCTGGGGGGGTTGAGCCTGGGGCCGTGCACTCGCACCCATAGAAGGAGGCAGGCGGCACGGTACGTGAACAGTGCCACTGCTGGGTCACTGATGACTGGCACGATACGGGCATTAGCAGTGGCGCTGGCAGCAGTAGCGCGAGCACTAGCAGTAGTGCCAGCAGCACCTGCCGCTGCTCCTCCCGTCCCTGTGCTTTCGCTCTTAGTTCGGAAAGACGCTGGAGGGACGCAGCGTCCTGCGTCCGGACGCAGCGTCCGGACGCTAGGACGCAGGACGCGCGTCCGGACGCAGGACGCTCCTCGAATTTTTTTTCGGGCTGCCCGAATTTTTTTTTTTTTCTGGATCGCGTTTTTGGCATTCGCGATTTCGGCGCGAATGTCGAAATCGCGAAATTTCCCACCCCTAAGCCCAATTCGACATTCTAAACCAGCCCCCCTAACATTCCCTAACAACTCAACAAATTTTGAATTTCACTCAAACCTCTCAACCCCTTAGCATCTAGAAATCCCAACCTTGGTGGGCCTCCACCAACAAACACATTTAGCATGGCAACCCTTTGTGCTTCTCATTTTCCCCTCAACAATTCTCTTTCGTAAACCCATAGAGGTTTTAGATCTTAGCTTAGCTTACCACCTAAACTCCGCTATGGCTTCCTCGAGCATTCCTTCTTCTTCCACCGCGTCTAGGAGTGTTTCTGATGCCGCCGTAGACATTCCCCCCAAGCGTTACACTAAGGAAGGGGTGGAGAAAAAACCGTATAAACCCGATCACGATATTTATAGGCATTTTTGGACGTTCGATGATCCCGCCAAGAAAGGGAAGCAGTGTGAGTGCCTTTGGTGCGGAAAAACGTTTGCTCTTAGTAGTAGCCGATGCACTCAGCATCTCGCCGTTTGGGATGACGCGAACGTGCGGCGCGATGGTGGAGTTGTGTGCGCGGATGTTCCTAAGCGCGTTTCCGACGCCATTCGCAACACGAAGGAAACGAAGACGACGGCGCGTAAGGATAAGGAGAGGGCTTTGGAGGAGGCGCTCACGTCGGTGGGCGACCAAGGCGGAGCGGGTCCGAAGGCAAAGAAGGGGCGGATGGAGCATTGGTATGGCGAGGGGGGGATGTCGGCGAAGCGTGCGGTAGACGATGCGATTTGCCTCTTCGTCGCGGGGACGCGCTCGGCGGAGGTCATTAGCGAGCACCCCCTCTTCCTCAACATGCTGCGCGCCGTTAGCGCCGCCGGTGCCGGCTACGTTCCGCCCAAGGTGGGCTACGTTGGAGGCGCCGGGTTGCTGGCGTGCAAGCAGCAGATTGAGAAGGGTTTGTCGCCCATTATGAAGTCGTGGAAGGAGACCGGCGTGACGATCGCGAGCGATATGATGAAGGACAAGAGCGGGCGCGCGCAGATGAACGTCGTCTTCATCAACGCCAGTGGAGCGGTTTTCCAGGAGGCGTTCGACTGCAAGGCGGAGACCAAGACTGGGGCGTTCATCGTGAGCGTCCTGCAGCCGCTGATCGAGAAGCTTGGACCGGAGCACGTCGTCGCGATTTGCATGGACGGCGGCAGCAACTACGTGTCCGCCGGCAAGCTGCTGCAGAAGAAGTACCCGCACTTGGAGTTCGTCCCCTGCGCCACCCACGTGCTCGACCTGCTGTTGGAGGACTTCGGCGGCATGGATTGGGCGCAGGAGGTCGTGTCAGTTGCCACCGACATGATCACGTTCCTGCGCAGCCACACGTGGACGCGTGCCTTCCTCCGGTGTCCCGAGCTGCACGGCGAGAAGAAGTCGCTGCAGCCGCTGCGACCGGCGGGCACACGCTTTGGGACGCAGTACATTGTCGTTTCCCGCCTTAAGGAGATTCGCCAGCACCTGGTGAACATGGTGACGCACACGGACTGGACCGAGAAGGGGAGGAAGCAGCAGACTGGAACTACTTTTGAGAAGGCGGTGATGGATGTGGAGTGGTGGGGCAAGGTGGACACCTTCGTCATGGTGATGGAGCTGCCGTACAAGTTGATGAGGAAGACGGATGGGCCAGCGAAGGGGAAGATGGGAGCATTGTACGACATGATGCTGCAGCTGACGGTGGACCTGACGGAGCTGTTGGAGAGGGCGGATTGTAAGCTTAAGGAGTCGGAGAAGGAGGATTTGCTGGAGCATTTGAGGAGGCGATGGGATGAGAGTCTGGCCTGCCCTCTTCACGTGGTAGGCCGGATTCTTAACCCGGTCAACCAGGAGGAGGGGATATACCTTAAGGACAGGGAGTGCACCAGGGTGATGAAGGCGTGGCTGCAACGCTCGAGGGTCTTCGTCGACAAGTATTGGAAGAAGGACGGCGAGCGGGAGGGAACGATGTTGGCGCTGCAGGAGGGGATGCTGGCGTACATTGAGGGCAAGGGGGGGTTTGGGTCGGAGGAGGCGGTAGCGGGCCGTGCGCAGCTGAAGGAGGGGAAGGGGGACATGGCGGCGTGGTGGAAGGTGAATGGCTGGGAGTACCCTGAACTGGCAGGCCTTGCGCAACGTGCTGTGTCACAGGCCGTTTCCGCCTCTCCATGCGAGCGGGGATGGTCTGTGTGGGATGGGGTGCACACGGCGCGCAGGAACAGGCTTGGGTCGGAGAAGGTGCGCGACCTAGTGTTCGTGGCGCACAACTGGCCGGTACACGGCCACCACCAGGCCGCAGCTGGTGGAGCAGGGCCAAGTGGGGAAGTGAGGAGGGCGGGGGTGGTGGAGGGTAACATTCCCACCCCTCCCCTCCCCGAGGGATACAAGTTGGAGGAGGACGGGGAGAGGGAGGTGGACGAGGACGACCCGGCAGTCGACGAGTACAAGGACCAGGAAGCGATGGACGAAGAGGAGGAGAAGGAGAGCGAGGATGATGGGGATGCGTGATGGTTGACTTGATGCAGTGCAGTGGTAGTTGAGTAGTATGCGTGGTCGGTAGTGGTTGGATTAAACGTAATGTGTGTGAGACCTTGTGAAATGTGTGACACGTGACTCACCTTAAACTCATATTTTGGGGGAAAATCTTGTTGTTTGGGAAAATTTTGTGGTATGCCCCTCCCCCCCCCCCCCTCTCCAAGCCCTATACAACTTTTTTTGGCCTGCCCGGGGGTTTTTTTTGCCCTGCCCGGGCTTGTGTCTTTTGGTGCGTCTTACAGGTCCAGGTTCAGCGTCCTGCGTCTGGACGCATGCGTCTGGACGCATGCGTCCAGGACGCAGGACGCGTCTTTCTGAACTAAGCTTTCGCTATCCTCTCTGTTCCTCTCCCCACCTCTCTCCTGTCCTCCGTGCCTCTCTGCCGGCTTCTGCCCTGCTGCCCTCTCTCCCTCTCCTGCCCTCTCTGCCAGCCTCTCTTCCCTCTCTGCCAGCCGTTGCCTGGCTGCCTCCACAGCAGCGTCCTCCACGCGCTCCTTGTACCTGTTACTGCATGCCCCGGTAAACGCTTGCATGCCGTAGACAGCAGCGAGCGGCACACAGAGAGTCAATGCAGCCCGGAGAGCAAAGTCAGTCGGGTCAACGCCAGTTATGACCATGCCACTGGCGGCACCACCACCACTACCAGCAGCAGCAGTGCCACTGTGTTCATGCCTGCTGCTTCCATCCCCACTCCCCCGTACACCCTCGTTGTCTACTGTTCAGCCTCCAGGCCCCCCTGGGAGATAATCTCCCCCATGCTCTCCACATACTCATCCCACTCCACCCCTCTCAACCCCTCCCTCCACTCCTCCCCCCCTTCCACCCAGCCAATCCCTCCTCCTACCCCCCCTCCTCTCCCCGTCCCCGCTCTCATACCCCCGTGCGCCTGTCTTCCCCCGGGCAGAAGAGGCAGCACATGAGCAGCAAACCCCGATTCCAGCTCCTTCTTCCCTTTCACCCCAAGCACCTGCACCAGGATCGATCCAAAGCAATCCTCCTCCGCTTCCCCACCCGCCTGCCTCCCTCCCCCCTTCCCCGCCTGCCTACTGGCCTGCCGCTCTGCCTGCCTGCCCCCCACCCCCCCGATCTGCCTCCCCGCGTTCAGCTGATTCGCCAGGGCGGGAAAGGCGACGTTGAAGGATTTCATGTGCAGGCGCCAGAGTGTGACTATACGGGGAAGCCTCGCTACAAGCACGAGGAAGACGACGACGGAGAGGCAGCGGCGGTAGGCGGTCCAACACGCGCTGCACTGCCAGCAGCACCACCAGAAGTGCTTGGGAGCACCACTACCGGCTGTAGCACCACCACCGGCTGTAGCACCACCACTGGCTGTAGCACCACCACTTGCTGCTACCAGATCGTGAATTTTCATCATATCTGCCAGCCGGGATCTGACCACATCCAGGTCCAACAGCAGCCCGACACGTGGCTCTGCCATCCACTCAAGAAACATCCCCTCGGCCGCGGGCATGGGCGCGATATCCGCCTTCCACTTGAACTGTTCCGCAGGAGAGCCTGCAGAAATGCCAACCCTAGAAAGACCCCCACCACCGCCAACCCCACCCCTACGAGCAGCCGCAGCGGCAAGTGCAGTGCGCCCGCTCCCCCCACGCCCCACACCCGGGCCCATGGTACACCAGACACCCTGCACCCTAACCGTGGCGGAACATGCAAGGATAGCCTGGGACGGGCGGTTGTGGCTGGCTGGGCACGGCTTGATTTTCTCATGCACCGGCTGCTGCAGGTGCAGGCGGAGGGCGTTTGGGGTTGAGGTTTGGTAGGTGGTGGGGGGGGCGGGGTGGAGGATGCGCGAGAGGCAGCAGGCGCAGAGGGAGTGGTTCCAGGGGAGGTTGACATCCACGTGGTGCACCATGTGCGGGCGGGAGATCGGTTCTTAGTCTAGCGCGCTCGTGATACTGGGTCGGATGCGACGGCTGCTGCTGCCGCGCCTGCCGGTGTTGGTGACGGGTTTGCTGTTGCCGCCAGTCGCAGGGGCCGGGTGCGCCGAGACAGGCGCGGAGGCAGGCGCAGAGCCAGGCGCAGAAGCAGGCGCAGAGGCGGGTGTGTGATTCGCAACAACACTGCTGCTGCTGCTACCCGTGGCGGGAACTCCTGAATCTGGTTTTCCCTTACCCCCCGCCTCCCTTGATCTTACCGGAAGCACTTTGACCACGCTACCCGCTTTAAGTTTGACCTTTTCCGGTGATGCTTCAGGCGATAGGTACACCACTTGCCCGACAGCCATGAACCGAACAGCCTGCTTCTGTTCGTCCGTCTGACCCTTTTCGTCGCTGGCCGTATCCACGCCATCCTGCTGCTGACGCGTCTGTTGACTTAACAGGCAGCAGTGCGGGAGGTGGGTCTGGAATAGCTTGTTGAACGCCGATTGGAGTGGCTCTTGCGGATCAACGGATATGGAATAATCCACGTGGGACGACGCTGCTGGCTGGGTGATCGTAGCCGTTGTTTGCTCGTTGACAGAATCAGGGCTGCTGCGGCTACCGTTGGTACTACCGCTACTGCTGCTGGTGGTCGTAATGCAGTCGTTACTGGTGCCGCTGGTAAGCGAACTGACGTCGTCAGTGCTACGTTTCGTGATTCTAAGCAGCGTAGCTGGCACCCTGAATCGAATCGTGAAATCCATGATGCTAGGCAATGCTCACACCATTAGGTATGCCTTGCGCGGGTAGCAGGACACCAAGCCGCCCGTTACCATCGGCGCCGCATTAGCCAGGCACAAAAAGTCACATTCGGACATACATCAATCCGGAGCGAGTAAGAAATGTGGAAAGGTGCGGTGCTGTTGTGTATAAATAAGGAGCGAATGGTTATGCTACCAAGCAGAGCTAGCAAGAAGCAATGCTCTTCCTATCAATCGTCATTGGGCCGGACATTGAATATCACATTCTGGACAAGCGTCAAGGCGGGTTCACAACGAAACGCGAGAAAAAACAACTTAGTGGTTGTCTACAGAGGAAATGCAGCGACTTGCATTCATGATGCTGCACAGAATCAGGACGCAGGAACCTAAGTGCTCGAATTCCTATGGAGGAAATGTGACATGAAACGACGACTCCAATGTCAAACTGTTGTCCTATGGAGGTTTTGATTAGAGCGGAATGGAGATCTCGATGGAAGGATAGGTTGGCGGGAAAAGGACAATTTTGTCTGCAAGATGGCGGATTTTCAAGGTTGGCTGGATGTTCCTTGAAGATGCCGAGCTGCACGAGAGACGCGTATGGAATTGCGTGAGTCGTGTCTTTGAAGGCGAGAAGGGCAGAGGGGAACCCAGGGGGAGCTGTCAAGTACTTCTTATAGAATTACTCGTACCGTGGAATAATGTTAACCTCGTCTACATGATACTTCACTTTCTGTGCACTAGATTCTCTGTGTGGATAGAATTGGAAAAGTTCACATTCACTAGAGCCTCGTTGTAGTAAATCCGATTCGTAGAGAAAAAGCTTGTAGAGGGAACACTGACTTGACTTCAGCAAGGAGCTGTTTGACGTGGCTGCCATGTCATTGAGGCCATCATCGTAGTCGGCCGGCGATCTCTTCCCGTCAAGATTCCAGTCAGCGTTCATCCCCCTCGCTTTTTTCGCCACGTGGTACCTGCTGATTTGCGTGTCAGCAATGACACCAGGTACGTGCCGCGTGACCCAGCTCCCAGCTGGTCGGAGGAGGCGCTTCGCACGAACTCAATATAGCCGTCGATATACAAGAAAGTAGTTTCTTTCTAAGAACAGAACAACTACCTTCCAGACGAAACACAGAAATTAATCTGTCCTGGATTTTATTGCTTCGTTCACCACCACTTCACAATCACGCATTCCTGACCTCCTCTCGCTGCCTCGATTTCTCCCCGCCTCCACCATTTCTTACTGCGCAGCGCTTCAGCCTGCGAGTTACTTCTGCCCGTCACGGCAAAGATTATGTTTTCCAGTGAGCCTCTTTAGCCTTCTTGTATACTACAGTAGTGTCTGCTCCCTCTTTCTCCGACGAGTGACGGATGCAATCGGCGTTTCTCGTCCATAGCTCACTCGTCGAGTAAGCCTCGGACCTGGCACTTTTTTTAGCGCACCGTGTTTTCATCAAGCACCGAAGCTCCGCGCTCCGGTATCCCGTACTTCCGTGAGATACCGCAAAGTACCTTTTCCGTGGTATTCCGTTGTTCCGTAAGACACTGTAGATTCGTGTATTCGTGTATTCGAGAGTCGTGAATACGTGAATTCGTAACTCACTGAATAGTAAGTCTCCTGACGCAGCCCTGGCTCGTCCGTCCGGTGCGTATCTGCGGGCGACCGCGCTTCTCGCGTCGTCCTGCCTCGCTGCCTCGCACCCCCTCCTCGCCTTCCGCTCTGGTATCGCCGGCGGCGTTACTATGGTGCCTGCGTGGACAGGTACTAGCGATTTGCGAAGTAGCTATGGAAATAGTGTGAATCTGAGTCGCCTTAGAGCACATCGCCAGCGTTAGCATCATGGTGCCAGCCTTGAATTTGCGTGGACTGGTACTAGCATAATCGTTGTTGACGGTCTGGCGATGAGTCCTGCTTCACTCGATTTTGCTGAATCACATCCACAAGTTGCAGGGATTTTTTTAGAATTCTCAAAGAATTCTCAAAACATCCCTCCGATGAGTCATGCTTCACTCGATTTGCCTGAATCACATCCACAAGTTTTGATTATTATTCCTATTTGATAGAGCTGCTTGCAGAGCTGCTTTTAGCAATAGAGAGGTTCTTGTTTTGACGCACTTCAAAACAGCGAAGGAAGCAGAGTCGGCACTGAGATTGCCGACGCATTTCCACGTCCACATCGGATGTCAAGGCTTGAAGAATGTCGCCTGTTACAACAATCGCGAAGTTCCCTTATCGTTACCCGCCCACGCGTGATGTTTGCAGTCCCAAGTGGCCGTGTTATCGCCTGCGAAATCGCACATCGCACACGCGTCTTCACCACCTTCGCACACGTCGCCGCCGACGCCTCTGGAGCTTCTCGCGAAACAAGCACCTCTCCGCCTTCGTCGCACAGGTTTTCGCCGGAGGTGCATCACATCGCCAGCGTTTCGCAATCCCCGGTTCCACCGTCGCTGATAACTCCTGCGAGTACGCTTGCGAACAGCAGCAGCAGCAGCATCGCGACGTCGTCGCTCGTGGCGGGCGCTCTGGGCTCCGCCGCTTATCTCGCGCTGCGGAACGCCTTATCACCGTCCGCGATCCGCCCAGTCATGGTTCCGCTGGACCCTCCCAGCGGAATCGTGCCGCGCGCTACCAGTGTAAGCAACACGCGCGCCATCCCCCCCACCACCCCCTTCCCCCGCCATCGTCCCCCACACGCACATCCACCAACCCACCCATACCCCCATGGGCCCATGGTTCCGCACGACCCTCCCAGCGGAATCGTGCCGCGCGCTACCAGTGTAAGCAAGCAACTCTGGATGTTGTTTTTGTGCTTGTTTTTTTCATTGTTGCTGTTGTTTGAATCCCCTAGGGCTCAGTCATTCAAATCATTTACGACAGTCAATTTCCCGCACCTCTAACGCACTGCCCCCACTTTTCCCTCAAACATTTGCAGGCGGCACCAGAAGCTTTGGCAACAATGGCCGCCACCTTCCCCCGAGCTGTGCAAGAGGAGGCGTTTCTGAGGGCGGTTGCTACTGAGCTGAGCAAGCTGGGCTTTAAGAGGTGAGGTGTTGAGCAAAGTTAGCATTAAGGGGTGCATCGTCGCGCTGAGAAAGCTGGGCTTCAAGAGGTGAGAGGTGCTGAAATAAAACAGAAATTAAAATTTCAGTTCCCCTTTTCTCTCTCCTGCCTCTGTCGTGCTTCTCTCTCCACCATCCAGGACCAATAGCTTTGCTTTGGTGAGCGCACGCCGCTAGAAGGTGTGCCTCGTAAACACGCCTCTCCTTGCCCTCCCCCTCTTCCACCTTTTTCCCTCTCCCACCTCTTCTCCTCCCTCACCTCTTCTCCTCCCTCACCTCTTCCCCTCCCTCACCTCTTCCCCTCCCTCACCTCTTCCCCTCCCGCACCTTTTCCCTTCTCTCACCTCTTCCTCTTGTCAAAAGGAAGCGCAGCGAGCTGCAGCTGCGGAGAATGAAAGGTGGAAGAGTAAAGAGGTTTGCTGAAGAGACTGCAGGTGGAGGGGAAGATACGGAAAATGGAGAAAGAGATGGGGGGGGGAGGGAGAGGTGGAGAAAATGGTGGGAAACGAGAAAGAGATGGGGATGAAAAAGGACGAGGTTGGTGGGACAGAGGACAAGTATCTCTGACTGTCTTACCAACTTCGTCCTTTTCCATCCTCATCTCTTCCTCGTTTCCCTCCTCTTTTTTTCACCCCCACGTGCCTCTTCTTTTTCCTCTCTCACCTTTTCCACTGCTCCGCCACCCTCTTTCTCTTTTTCCATATCTTCCCCTCCCCCTCCTCTTCCGCCGCCGCCTCCGCCTCCCATGACTGCTGCCTTATGGCCGAAGTGAGCTTTGTGATAGTCCTAGAACTTCTTATTCCGCCTTCCTCCCCCTCTCTCTTCTTCCCTGCCATCCTCCCTCTCTCTCCATCCTCTCACTCTCACCCCCCCTCCTCTCAGGACCAACAGCATCTCTCTGGTGAGCGCATGTTGTGATGATGTGTGCCGCCCGAGGAGGTGACTTTTGAGTCGTCGCAGAAGGCATACTCCTTCTTTCACTCCCCCTCCTTTCAAAAGGCATACAAGTATTCTTCCTTCCTCCCTCTCTCGTTCTCTCCCTCTCGCCTCCCCTCTTCCTCCCGTTCCCCCCGCCCCTACTCTCAGGATCAACAGCATCGCTCTGGTGAGCACATGTCGAGACGAGGCATGCTTTGAGTAATAAACTCACCTCTCCTCGTCCTCCCCCTCTT